AGGGTGGAAGACATTTGACAGTGCAGCATTACTTTGTGAGCTAACTTTGGGTACAGAATAAAAGAGGGTTGATACTACAGCATTGTAACGTAAGCTAGTTTAGAGAATAGAGAAGGGAGATAGCACGACTTTACTTTTCATATTAGCTTACTTGAACAGAATTGAAGACATTTCATAGTACAGAATTACTTTATACAGAGTGAAAAAAAGGTAAGCTGATCTATTGAGACTCGAAGAAATATGACAGGATGGTATTATATAAAGACCATATTCATTATTCCAATAATTTGAATCAGTTCTAATTTTCTCTATTTTACAACTTAGTGATAACTTAGCAAACTCGTGTATAAGCAGTGTTGTTTGCATCAGTAGTTAGATATAATTTAGTACAATATTTCAAGGCATAAATACTCTTTCATCTAATATATACTGCAGACCATTATGCTAATGTTCTTTACAAAAACCAACGATTTCACTTTTTACAGAGATGAGAGTTATAAAGTTTCTGAATAAAGTCTGAAAAGGTTGGTTTTGAAGAAAGGGAATAAGGTACGCCATAAGTAATTTCTTTAGAAAGCTTATAAAGAAATATTCTTAAATCTGGAGCGCAACGTACTACCTTATGGAATGACCATTAAATTGTAAAAACTCATATGTTGACGTATATATACATGTATATATACATATATATATAGGCGGTTCAAAAGAAAGGTAACGGACTAAATTTAATTCTTTGGCAAACGAAATTCTGTGATACGAGTTTTAAACTTACTCTGTTTGAAATATTAATAAGTGATACATTTTATAAGAAGGGGTTGCAGATGCGAGCTCTGAAAACATGGACAACATATTTAGTACCAACTTATTTGGTTCATGGCAAATTACAGATCATTCGAAAATGCAATGCTGCTAATAGTAGACTATTATTGGGGTATTTTCGTTACAGCCTTTAAAGCTTTTAGTGTTCTCTATAGAAGCAGAAAGCCTCGCACAGACGAGCGTTTAGTGAAAAGAAAAATCTACCCATCCAAAAAGCCATCGCAAATGAAGATGGACATATATCCTGGTTCCTTTGACAATATAATAAACAAGGATTTGTAGGTGGCCAATGCTCATGACTCAAACCTTTACCAGCTTCTGGCAACTCATCAAAATCAATTGCTGTTTTCGTGAAAAAAGATGAATGGAGTAACTGGAACCAAACCAATCCCGTTCGACAGCATACTTTTTAAGTCCCCCTATGTAGCTCTAATAGACTTTTGTGTCTTTGGTTTTGTAAGCTGATGGAAACTCCTTAAATGTGGGTTCTTAGGTTGACTTCGCTTTACTTGAGCAGAAATTTGTTTAAATGAAAAATGCAATGCAAGGCAGTAGCGCGTAATTATGATCATCAAACTGATCACGAGAGATGAATAATGTTTGTTTGCAGATACTCATTAGAATAGTTTGTGAAAATTCTACTATTCAGTCAGACAAGAATAACTCAAGCCGCTACCTGAACTGATAGATTAGCAAGAAGGCAACTAGTCAACGAACCCATTGCCAGTTTTGAGTTATTCTTGTCTGACTGAATAGTAGAATTTTCACAAACTATTCTAATGAGTATCTGCGCTACCTGAACTGATAGATTAGCAAGAAGGCAACTAGTCAACAGAACCCATTGCCAGTTCTTGAGTTATTCTTGTCTGACTGAATAGTAGAATTTGATCAACACGCATATAGTGAATCCACGACCCCAAAATGTGGTGTGCGTTTCTGCGCTAACAGTGGCGAATCAAAAATACTCAAATTCAATATCAGATTCTAAACACTAAGCCACTCTCGGCCCACAATGTAGGAAGCAATTCCAAAGACAGCAGGAGACTCGTAACATAATTTTTATAAAGTACGATTAATTAACTTTTAGTAATGAAACACATACATACACACAAAAGCTTTTTGTAAACGAAAAACACAACAAAGCCATTAAAACTGAGCACACGGGATACTTTACGTATTAGTAAGGACAAGACGTTAATTTTCTGTGCCAGTTACATAATACTTTAAAGTTATAAATTTATCATTTCATTACAATATGAATGCTATTTGTAAAAATATAGAATACAGTACCTAAAACAATGAAGTCAAATGTAAACTTTAAACACAGAAAAACTATGGCTAAATCATATCATTGAAATAGAACAAAATGTATATCAAGATACCGTGCTGTGTAAAAACTAAAATATCTAAGTTGATCTGTAGTTTATTGTATACGTATATAAAAGTTTTAATAACCTTCAAGCTTCATAGCTCTTTAAAAGTGCTCGTCATTAGATTGCACCTTAACTGTAACTGAACATATCGCAGTTGTAGTCAGACATTATGAAAAACTCTTTTAAAATACTGGAACGCTTGTGGGTTAATAAAACTTTCATATTTCAACGTGGAGTTTCGGTCCATATGTTTTGTTTTTTCTTTCATAAATAAATAATAATACTTTCATATTTCATCGTGATGCCTCAGTTCGTAAGTTTTGTTATTTCTCTAATGAATAATTGATAAAATTTTTATTATTTAACGTGGTGCTTCAGTTCGTAAGTTTTGTTTTTCTTTAATCGATAACCACGTTTAAATGACATTGAAACAACGTATTAAACGTCAATAATATCAACTAAACGTTTTAGGACTGAACAGTTCGCATCATCTTGCCAATTGAAACAATTAAGGCTGAACAGTATTGTTTAAGTATTATCATGTCAGTTTAATTTAGTAAGACTGAACAGATCTTAAGTATTATCTTACCAGTTGAAACCAATAAGAAGGAACAGTATCTTAAGTATTGTTTGGCCGACTGAAACCAGTAATAGTGAGCACTATCTTAAGTATTATCATGTCAGTTTAATTTAGTAAGACTGAACAGATCTTAAGTATTATCTTACCAGTTGAAACCAATAAGAAGGAACAGTATCTTAAGTATTGTTTGGCCGATTGAAACCAGTAAGATTGAATAGTATCTTGCGTATTTGTCTTGCCAGTTGAAACTAGTAAGATTGAAAAACTGCTGGATATAAATAACACAACATTTAAAAAACTGCACAAATGTTAATTAAAAGTCAGAACGACGTGAAAATAGAAACTGGCACTACACGTTTCAACTTACTAAAATGTATTTCAACAACGTAGGTATTATCTTACAATTTTGAACCAAACAACGCGTAACCTGTTAGATGAAAATTTCTATATCAATTCAACAAGTAAATATTGCCATAAAGCGACTGTACACGCATTAGTGCACAAAACTTAATTAATTGTCTTTAATTTAATTAAACATACAGTGAATATCATTCTAAAGTTATTTTCTCCAAGAAGTGTAATCATAATTACGCTGCAGTACACAAGTAGAAAGCTACTCATTATTGAGTTTTTCACATACAAATGAAGAACTTCATACAGAAATCAACTTTATTCTTGGCTCAGCCAAGTGGAGTTTTCGTGCATGTCTATATTAAATACCTTTCTTACTCTTTCTTTACTAATAAAAATATAAAATGTTTAATTAAATAAAAATTAAATATCCCATTTCGAGTATTTTTCAGATTTTGTTCAAAAATGCTAAAACACTTCCGTTAATAGACTGATTCATTACGTAAACTAAAACTAGGTGTCTATTGAGTTTCATTCACTAAAATACATCAGTTAATAGACTGTTTCATTACGTAAACTAAAACTAGGTGTCTATTGAGTTTCATTCACTAAAACACATCCGTTAATAGACTGATTCATTACGTAAACTAAAACTAGGTGTCTATTGAGTTTCATTCACTAAAACACACCCATTAATACACTGATTCATTACGTAAACTAAAACTAGGTGTCTATTGAGTTTCATTCACAGTTTTTCGATTTTTCCCCAGTTAATGTCATCATCAAGTGCTTTGGTTTGAAGCGTAGACGATCATGACCTTTCCCGGTCACAGACACTTGTGATTACATCAGTCACATTCTCTTTGTGTAGTCAAATTGTTTAACTGTCCAGGATCTATTCTCGTTCTCTACCTCTACTTCTTTTCCCCACAATTTTCCACTTGTTACCAAGTGTTCCATCACATGACCACAGAATGTTGCTTGTTTTTTTCGTACTTTTGTTATCAATGTTTTTTTTTTTTGGTTGAACTTCTTCAGTTGTTTTCCAGTTTCTGTATAAAACCCTAAACATTCTACACAGAAACTATATTTCGGTCACAACAAGTGATTTTTCCATTTGTTTGTTTATTGTCCGTGATTCGCAACCGTACATCAAGATTGGTTCGATGTAGCAGCTAAGAACTCTTTTGCGCACTTTCGTCCAATTAATATGGAATGTTAAAAAAACGAAGCTGTTTTGGTGTTGCAAGTAATGGAAGTTTGAATGAATTACTATATATTCATGGTGGCACAAACTTCCAAGCTTACATGTGGTATATATCACAGTTTCAAGGTTATAACAAAGGTTATATGGTGTGTCCTATATATCTTCCCACAGCTATGCTCTAGAGATGGATATATATGGTCATAATAGTGACAGAATTGAAGTAGCATCAATATTAAAATTAAAATTATTTTTTACCTCTTAACAAAACATTTTTTTTTATACAAGCGAAAAAATTTTGGCTTTGACTTCGAAAACAGTTGTTGAAGGTTTACATGCTTATAGTTATTATTTCTCCAGCCAATAATCGAACGTTCATTATTCTTCGCTTGTATAGTGAAATTATATTATTTTTGTGAAGTACATTTTCAAAGTATTTCACATAAAAATTTGTTCAATTTACACACCAAAGTATATATAGCTATGTTATTTAGATTTGATCATTATAAGTCGCTACTTATAAGGACTTCTCAATCGTCATTACGTACGCACTATTACAATGTTTTACAAATGTCTGTCAGGACAGTTTGACTAATATGTCTTAAGCAGAACAGGATGAAACTTTTTAAAGTTATCTTAATTAATTGGCTAAAGTGACAAAATTAATACTTACATTATATATGTTCTGTTGTTAACATTTAGAGGACAAAGGTCTCTAATGTCTTCCTATAATGTATGACCAAAAAATAGACATCTAATATCGAAGTTTCGTCACCTGTAATAGAACGATAATATTAATAGGGTATATCTGTAACAATTATCTTGTATTTTGCCACGTCATTATTTTTCTACGTCTATGGAGTCCTATGAAGACCCACTTGTGCAATATTTCTGTTTGAAATCATTTTTCTTACTTTGGATCCGGTTATTATCATAACATCTTTCACCAACTTCACTCTTCATTGTTTTATACTAATGCGGCAAGAAAATATTAAAAGTTAATATTCTCTAAAGATGGCGCTGGCTATTTTGCTATAAAAATATTGTAAATATTAAAGTGTTAAAATTCATCTCTTGTTTCATCTTGAAGTGTTTTAACCTTTTATTTTATGATGCAAACGTACAGCATTTAAAAGATATACACTAAACAAAATCTACACCAATAATCTCATGTACTTTCTACATATCAACCAAAAAAAAGTGCAATTCGCTCAGTAGAACCAGTCGCATGGTTACACATTAGAAATTCCAATGTCCAATAAAATTGAAATACTTTTTTAGTTACGGAACCAGTATTTTTTTGCCTCACTGCTTACTGAGTGATTTATAATAATCACGGTAAACTATGGTTAGCGAGTCATGAAATGCCTTGTGAAGTGCGAGATTTTTAAGGACAAGACTAAAAGCAATTGTTTCATATTTTTCTTTTGTCTTCCAGTACTGGTGGGAGGAGATGAATAGGTTATATGAAAGCAAAGAAATTGGAAAAATATGCTCATTTTATAGACCCTTGTCCTTTGTATAATTCTCATACCCTTCAAGCAAAAACAATGAACTTTATTTAACACTGCGTATATCTTATATGTAGCAGATTATTCTATTATCACAAATTACTGATGGCTTTCCCATCACACTCATTAAACATTCAACGTTATAATTATGATGCGTGGATTATATGAATCAATTAGTCTTCTGTCGTATTCTTCAGACAGAAGATTAACAAAAAAAGAGTTTGAAATTGGGTTTATAACGTGCTCTAGGCCACTTTCCATCTATACAGTGAATTACAGCGTTTACTTATATTTTGTACATAATATATTCTATAGACGTTCCTCATTGAAAAAAAGGGGTTCAAACATTTACCGATTCCCACGTACAGGAACACGTTATAATAAAATAAATACGTGAAGCAAAGTTGTTATAATAGCGTTTGTAATATAGAATATATCTCACATACAAGATTTGACAGAATCTCTGTAGAGAGTTATATATTTTCAACCAGTGTTTATTACCGAATATTAACAGTAAGATGTGTATTTGAAAGAAGTTTGATTTAATATTTTTAGTGTTTGAAATCAACACGCGGCCTAGTGGAAAACGTTACCATTTGTAGTGAACGACAGCATTACAGGACTCAAACAAGCCTTCCTTAGTATGTTTGTTTGAATTTCGCGCAAATTAGGGAAGGCTATCTGCGACTAGCCGTCCCTAATTTTAGCAGTGT